GTATACAGTCCTTAGAACAATCAACCATATCAAATCAAAAGGATAGCATTTGCTTATGGATAAAAACTCTTAGAAGCAAGAAGAAACAGGAAAGAAGGTTGAATCATGATGGTGAAACACAGGTAGGGTGGAAGTGGGAAGAGTGCTAGTACATCTTAGGGACTGCAATCAAGTTATGAATTGTTGAATGGAAAACCAATTTACTGTGTAAAGTTTTAAATCATAAAAAAAATTTTTTTTAAAGAAAAAGAAAATCAAACAAATAGGATGGGGAAATTAAGGATACCCAGACTACAAGTATAATTCTTTGACCTATGGGGTTGCTGGGTTGAAATGTACTTGGAATGAACTTGATGGTAGTCAGTGAGGATGGTGATGTTGAGCAACTTTCATGTTGAGAAATCAAGACTTTGCCCATCAAAATTAACCTTTGTAATCACTTAAAACTGAATCCTGTCAATAATTCCCTCTACCTGTCCTTTCTCAGCACAATCATGATAGTCACTAGTTTCTCATTAGAAAACTATGGTAGGCTGAGCGATCCCCAGTAATTCACTGCACCACATAGGATTGGAAGGGACTAAGGGTTTTGGCTACGATCCTTAATCCTTTTACCAGTGCTGGTAGCATCACCAGCTGGAAGTAATTGTCTTATCATTCAGGTGGGTGAAGTCCAAATTCAGGGCATCAGCTGGAGGAGAATGCTCTCTCTTTCTGTTGGGTCAGCGTCGGTTCCTTGTCAACTGGCAATATATGAGAGTGGGACCTGCCTTGGAAATCTGCCTGTATCTTAGCATCTGCCTTACATTGGGTCTAGGCAGCTCACCGGGAAGAGACTGCCAGTCCAGGGATGCACCCTGGCCCATAATCCTTTCCTGGCTGCAGTCAGCTGTGTACTCTAACTTCAGGCTGCTGCATCCTAGACTCCCTTGAGAGATGAAAGCTCTGTTCTGCCACATCTCAGAGAAACTCCTTTTACATCTATTTCCTTGGGGTTGTGATGGGACGAGTGCTTGGATGTTTCAGACACAGCTGCCTCCGAGAGCTCCTGATTTCCCCATCTCCTTTCTTTCTACCGAGAGATCAGTGTTCTCTCTGCTGGCTTCTCTAAAATCCCTTAGGAGGTGAAAGGACCTGGATCCACACCTCAGACCTGGATCCACCCGACATCAATCTGACAAATATTGAGAAGGGATTAAGGAGTACTATCCCACCCTGAATCCTTTTACTATGGAATGTCTTCATATAGGATCCAAATATAGCAGATACTTTCATGGAAGCCACATTATGTCATAACTCAATAACACAAACCAAACTCAGGTGCAAAGGCAAGGAGGACAGAAAGAAATAGGGGATGATAAACCCCCCTCCCCCCACCCATATCTCTATACCCTGTTTGTGCTGAGTAGAACAACTAAGTAAACTCGGATGAACACATCCTGGAATGCATTCAGCTCATGCAAAACAGAAAGACTTATGTTCAAACCGTGATCTTCTGGTTTGGATCCCAATAGATAAACTATTGAAATACTCCAGAATCCCATCATGTGTACCACTCATCCATGGTTCCTGATGGTTAATAGTGTCTGGAGCAACATGTTCTTCTCTGTGGAGCACCTGGTGGGAGTGGCCCGTAGATCCATTCCAGGTTCCCACATTGTCTCATAAAAAATAAAATACACCAAACTCAGCGCTACTGCATCCCTTCCACCTCATTGCCAACCTGTAGGACATATTAGGATGGATCCCTATTTCCCTCCAGGCTAAACATCAGCAGTTCTGAACATGTGGATTGCAGCCTCTTTGGCAGTCGAACAACCCTTTACACAGGAGTCCCTGAAGACCGACGGAAAACAAATATTTTTGATGATCTTAGGAGCCAAGACACCGCTCCTCTATCCATCTCCAGGCGGGTCCGCCCACATGCAGATACGCCCACATATGAGTACCCGGTGTGCAGACTGTTACCCATGCTACACCATACTTCAAGACAAAATTTCATTTATTTGTAAATAGAAATAAATATTTCACAATGTGTAAGTACATATTGTTTTTGTGATTAATCGCTGTGCTTTAATTGTGTTCCATTTGTAACAATGAAAAAATATCCTGCATATCAGATGTTTACATTACGACACATAACAGTAGCAAAATGACAGTTATGAAGTAGCAACGAAAATCATTTTATGGTTGGGGGTCACCACAACATGAGGAACTGTACTGAGTTCGCGGCATTAGGAAGGTTCAGAACCATCGCTGTACATAATAGGCTCCCGTGCTATTGGTCCTAATGCATGCCCCCTTCAAAAGGAAACAGAAAGAGTAATCACACCCTTGCTGGCGAGTGAAAACATAGGTCCTGTAGCCCATGATGTAGGATAAAGTATTACAAAATCTTACTGCCATTGGTCGACACCCACTAATAGAAAGCATACAAGGCAGAGTAGACTGGCCCTAAGAGTTTCCAAGACTGTGATGTTTGGGGGTAGTGCAAAGACTCATCTTTCTTCTGTATATAAAGCACACTAGTCTGCTTTTGAACCACGTGGATTGTTCCATTTTCCCTCATGGGCAGGATCAGCTACATTGGTAAACACCTACTTCGTGTCTTTATGGTAGCAGACTCTCATCTTTCTCAATTGGAAAAAATGATGGTTTCGAAGCCTCCAACCCTTGAATAATAGACCAACACAGCCTACTACTCAGGCACAGCTCCCAAACGGACCTCCTTACATGCCCCTTTTCTGCCCGGATGTGTGAACACTTCTCAGGTCATGCATGTTTAATTTTTTTAGTCTTGCTATAGAAGAAGTGAATACCTACGTTAATAGCTTTGCAAAGAGACGTTTGTTTTATGTGAGAGAAGGTGAGTTATTATTCAGAAATTTAGTTATGGCTGTTGAAAAGCGTTTTCAGTTGATCATCTGCCGAAGGAGGGACTGGTCTCTTTTCTACAGGGTACGTCCCTGTAATCCTTGGAGATACCGTGAGTCTTGGCATTCACGATCGCCTGAGTCTAGAAGGATCCCAGGGCAGGGACTTTGGGCTCCAAGGACATGCATTGCGCCTGCCTGTGTCAGTCCCGAGGGGCAGCTACTCCCTGTGGTGTGGGCTCCCTAGGTGTTGGAACCACCTTGATGGTGGGGGTTTGGCTTGTGCTATAGGGATTGAGATAGACAGATGTATATCCCAAAGGACAAAACTATACTGTGGACCTGAGATTCAGCATGGTGAATCCGTGTCAGGCACCTAATGCTTACCCTCCTCCCCCTACACTGCATTTCACATGTTCCCTTGTGTTCTGAAATGCATGCCTTGGCAACACGTGCAGTCATGTGGAAGGGTTGAGGTTATGTGTCCACATGTCAGTTCCAGCATATTCAGGGGCTGGGCAGGCATGATACACTAGTCTTGCGGATGAGGTTGATATCCCACGATGAAGCCCAGGTTGAGATCTACCGTGAGCCAGTGAGTTGGCAGATAATGTCCTCATGACCATGGTCTCCCCATGTTTAAGGATTCTATGAAACTCTATGACTTTGAGGAGGATCTGGTCAGGATCATCAATGAGAAAAGTGGGACACATCTAAGGGCACTAGAGCAGGGCATGTATGGGCTACTAGATCTCACAAAGGAAGCAGACACCATGGAGCACAAAATTGATGAGTGGGACCTGTTAAAAAGATAATACTGTGCCATAGAAAGATTTCATCAAAAGATTAAAATGAGCCCTGATTCTGAGAAAATATATTTAGCAATAAAATAATGGACAATGATGACATTCCATGTAACAAACAAACCTGTAGCCCAATTAATAAAAATAAAAAATTAAAAACTAGATACCAACAAATGCTGGAAAAGGTGTATACATATTGAAACACTTTTCCATTGCTGGTGGGCTCCTTTGCTTATGCACCTATTTGGTCTTCAGCGATCGTGTTGGGAAGTTGAGCATCACAGGGGATTCTTAAGTTTCGTAGTCTTGCTACAGGAGAAATAAACAGCATGAGTGCATGGCTTTGAAACAGGCATTTATTATCGATTATTGCAAGTGGTAGGAGACAGAAATGTAGGGCGGGGTTGTCGGCAGTGGGTTTATCCCTTGAAAGGAGTCGGGGGAAAGTCTTTGTCACTTTTTAGCATCTGGGACACCTGCAGTCCTAGAAGATCTCCATGTGTCTTGGCACCCACGTTGCCTAGGTCCTGCATATGCCCAGGGAAGGGGCCTTGGTTGGCAGCGATATATTTTGCTCCTGGCTTTTGTTTCTTGATGGGGGTGAGCACATCTGCTACCTGCTGCTGACTCTCCTTTTTCATCGCTTGCAGAAGATGTATGGGAAACAATTAAAGTTTGACTTCAGGAAGGCTGCTCACATTAGATGTATCATCTGCCCGATACCTCCAACCTCTTTCTTAATCATGGCAAACATGACCTAATGCTCAAGAACTCAATCAAAATCAATCTAATTTAGGAAATACTAGTCTTTCCAAATAGGACATTGACATCCCGAAGCAGAAGTTAGGACCGAGAACAGATGGCAAAGGGTTATGGCTTTAGTTAT